TAATATTAGTAACTCCTAACTATTGTTGTCACAAAAACTCCATCTTTTTATTCAGACGTAACTTAGACACGTTTTAACTGTTTTTTATTACATGCTTCTTAGTATATATCTTTTTTTTTTTTTTTTTTTTTTCAATAATATAGACAAAAAAGAAAAGCTGTCTCTGAAGACAAAGGTAAGGACTGGCATATTAACTTACTTAATAAACAGAGGAATAAAAAAGCTGTTGGTCTTGCTATGAAAAGCCTTACAGTTCCCACGTCTGCAAAAGACCCTGGAATTTTGACAGATTAAATTGCACTTCTGCAAAAAATAAAACAAAATGAAATAATGTAAACAAAAATAGAAATCAGTGAAAGGGGAAACTCTGTAGGCCAAAACAGAGGAGCTACCTGGATAGACCAATTGGGGACCTTTTGGGCAATGGGCAAGGTGAGCGACAAAAGAGACAAAAGAGACAGTCTTCAGGAGAGAGAAAATGAAAGTCTGTAACCACCATAAAGCACTTGCTTCCAGAGAGGAAATAGCCAAAAATCAACGCTGAAAATTCTATACTCATGACAGTATTACACCTGTTTTATAGTAGAGAATACTAAAATTAAGCAGTGCTAGTATTTTATTATACATGCTGTTATGTATTACGGGCTTGATCCATTTCAGTTAGTACTCTTCAAAACAAGAGGCAACATGGTTGAGTAATTAGTATGTAATCATTCTCAATAGGCAATTTTCTTGCAGCCTTCCTAATTGGAGGATAATGCTGTTAAATACTATCGATATAGGCTACATTATGCAACCACTCTCCATGCCAGTAACCAGTTGCATTGATAACACGAACTAGGAGATTCATTTTGTGAAAATTCACAAAAAGAAGCAGAATATCACAGCGACTGCTATAGTAGCTGTAATAGTAGCCTTGCAGGTTCCAAGCCTACCAGTGACAGCACCAAGAGGATAGCTGTGCTTAATTCAAGTATTTTCCAGCTTATACTTTACTGAAAGATTTTAAACATAAGTAATGAAAGTAAATCAATCTCCAGATTAAAAAAAAAAAAAAAAAGTCACTAAATTGCACAGCTATAATAGGTGTGCATTTATATTGGTAAACTAAAATAGTACTGAACAACTTGTGCATTTCAGACACAGTCACCGAAGCTAAGCAGGAGTTTTGCCCTTTGTTTTACTTTCCAAGACTCTCAGTCAAGAGAGGAGAGGAGAGGACAGAGTTCAGGTCACAGTTCCTTTATTAAGTTTAAAATCTATTTCAGGGAATAGAACGGCCATAGTTTAAAGACTTCATCCGGAACTGGATGAGGTATAAGTACTTTTTCAGCACATCTTCCCACAATGGGAGCAAGAAAGAAACTTCTATGAACTGTCCAGAATGTGACTATGTTAAGAGATACAACATAGTGCCAGTCTGAGAAAATCTAGGAAAAAGGAAAATAATTTTTAAAAAGGAAAAGAAAAATGTGAAAGAAGAGTTAAGAGATTGCTGATAAGAAAAAGGACATGGAAAGAAAAAGATCTGAAAGAGAAGAAAATGGAGAATAGGAAATGAAATAGTAAGGAAAGAGTGGTACAAGTTATGAATTTTAGAAAATGAATATTGAAGAAACCTTTACCTTGCAGAGAGATGAGAAAATAAATGTATGTTTTATAAAATCATTTGGAATTCCAAATTACACACTCTTTTTCAAAACTGGTCTTATATAAATGTCAGCTTGATCAGACTCACATTTACAAAGTTTAATCTTACTATTTTCTTCATCAATGCTATTCCATATTCTAATTGGTATAGTGAAGGGATATTTTTTCAGGTATATGAAGGATCCCAATCGGTTTTCTTTCCCTCCTCCTTCCCACCCCCACTACCTCCCCCCAACACACACATTCTCAGCCCTGGAAAACAAAGATTAATTTTGCAGAAACGGAAACAACAGAAATCTCAGAGTTGAGCTGGCTATAGGAAATAAAGCTGAGAAGAGCAGTCAGGTCAGAGATGCATTAAGAGATGCTTTCTTTACATCTTCGGTTACATGGTTACAATAACTGTGCCACAGTTCAAAATGTTTTCATAAAATTACCAGAACTACGAAAGTTCATTGCTTGTGACGTGCCTACTGAGAACAAATTACTTAAGTGCAGCTTTGGGTACTACCTGACTCACTATTGCTTCCTTATCAGTGTAGAAATATTCAAGTGAAAGAGGGAGATATAAGGCGAACAAACTGTACAGATGTCCGGTGACACACTGAATTACAGTGAATGAGCAGATGTTACCAGAACACAGCGATGCAGGAAATGAAAATGGGTGTTGTGGGGCTGTACAGTATGTTTGAGGATCTGGGATTTGGCAAACCTGTCGCAGAGGAATGATTAAAGCAGGAAGCTCAGCTAAATTAGGACCATGCAGCAGAACAAAATACATGACTATTTTTAGAAAATGTTGGCATCCGCATAGCCCAGGGAAAAGACTGGCCTCTTACTTTCAGTGTGACAGAAATGGCATCCAAGTAAGTTACAAGGACATACCAAGAGTAAATGCTAGAGAAGTTAAATGAGACTGATAGAAGACAGTGCAAAATGATGGCTTAGGAGGAGTTCTGCAAAATAAATGTCAAGGGCTCTCTGTTACCCAGAGTCACAAAAGTATAAATCCTTTTGCCAATTAATGAACATATTAGAGAATAAGTCAGTTTAGGACACCCTGGTATCAAATAGCTTTATCTCAGCTTGAATGCATGTAGGAAAACAAACAAACAAATCAATTTGTGAAGTATAAATACTGACATTGAGTGGAAATCCTTTGGGAAGGTTCCAGCTTCAGAAATACTATTCTATGCATGCTGTGTCTGTGATACTTCATCATATTTTCAAAGAACTCTTCACAGAGAATAACAGATAGAGCTCAATTTAAAGTGAGGTGAAAACTAGAATGCTAAAGAAGGTATTAGAGACAGGCTTCCCTGTTTAGAAAATGCTTCACCATTGAAAATTGAGATTTCTTCTACGATCTGCTTATATTACCTCTCCTAGCAACAGCACTGTTTCCAGCTTCTTGTATTCCTCCACTATTTTAGCAGCCATCAGACTGCCTAAAAAATTGGTTCCCTCAGTGAGAAATATTTACATTTCTTGCTGCTTTGGCTAGTGTTTTATAGCAGTGGTTTTTCATACAGCGCTACTAACAATCACTAATAGTCAGTCTATAAAATATACTGTGCTGTTATGAGATTTTGTAACCTATCTATTAAAGAAGAACATTAGTTGTGAAAGATTCACAAGACTGACAATTAGTAAATATCCATCCAAGTTTTCACCCACAGTGTTTTTGATTCTTGCATCAGTGGTGAAAGAGATGGCATGATGTCATGTGAGTTACCATGTCAGTCCTTGCAGGGAATGACCTAATGGCACTCACAAAGACTGAAAAAGCAAATATCCAAGTTTCTCTTTATAGTTCATATTTTCTAGAGCCTAAGAAAACCAAGTAGAAAGGAAAACAAACTCCAAATCTGTCTTAAGCAAACTTCAGTTCTGTTCAGTATTGTCCAATAAAAACAACAAAATAATCTTTAAATTTATTCCTCAACAGATTTCCATTTAAGGAGTAAACCTTGTTATCCCACCTTTCACCATCTGGGATCAAAAGCATATGCTTCCTCTGCTGATGCCTTTCACTGAGCATATTCCCTTACTGAATTCTCCCTCCGTTTCTAATACACCTGACAGATTATTGTGACACGAGGCCATATGAGAACACATATTCTTATGTACAGAGGAGTTTATCAAAGGATTTAGAGTACTGTTTGTCAATCATTACATTCAGCCACTAAACCTTTCTACTCAGTAAACAAACAAAAAACATTTAGCTCTTCCTATCCAGAGGTGAACAGACTAGCCCTGCCCCAATCTTGAGAGCAGTGTTCTGTACAGGATTTTTATGAGGACCTTTCAGCTGCAGTGAGCCCCTCAAAAATTATTTAAGAATTGCCAGTACGATGAATCGTTTTGTTCCTCATGGAACAGGGCAGGATGCCAGAGCTTGTATCTTCAGAATTTATCCCACAGAAAAGTGAGGTATATATGCTCTCAAGTTGCCAAATTACACTTCGCTAGACTGCATTGGTTTTATTCCTTTTCAGTATATTTGATAACACTCAGCTGCTTAGCAATTTGTCTTTCCCTGGGCCAGTTACTTGTCAGCCCTCAAGACAGTAACTCATCAATGACAATAGACAGTAAGTCAGCTTCATCAGGGACTCAAATGCCTCTATGAAAATGTTTGCAGCATGGGGAATAAACAAGAGGAAGTGGAGCTGTGCACATGCTTGCAGGGCTTTGATGTCAGTAGCACTACAGAGACACAGTGAGGTGGCTTCCATGACTGGAGCACTGAAATGGAAGGATACAGGCTTTTTAGGAAAGATGGGCAGGATAGATAAGGAGGGAGGTATCATCCTCGATGTCAGTGAGCAGCTAGAATGTACGGAGCTCCATCTGAGAGCTTATGAGACAAGATAAAATGGAGGGCAGGGATAGATGACATTGCAATGAGGGTCTGTACAGGGCATATGACCTGGATGTCAGACAGAGTATAGATAGATAGAAGCAGCCCTGGCCTTCATTGAATCCAGAAGGTTCCTGGATTACGTTGATGATAACTTCCTTATCCAAGTGACAAAGGAGCTAGTAAGAAGAGATGTTATGCTTGATCTCATTCTTACCAGCATGGAGAGACTGGTGGGGAATGCAAAGCTCAATAGTGGCCTTGGCTGTAGTGACCCTGAAATGCTGAAGTTCACATTCCTTAGTGCAGAAAGGGATAAGCAAAGTAAATTCACTACTGTGGACATCAGGAGAGCAGACTTTGGTCTTTTCAAGGATCTTTCTTTCTATTTTTCTCTTCCTCCCTCCTTCCAAAGGAACAGTTTTGTGAAAACGGCATTAGAAGTACTCAAGTATCTAAAGTTAGAAATATATTTTAAATATCTTACTGAACTCAGCTTTCACAACAATGAAGTCCTATGGTGGGTTTTCTTCTCCCTATGTATAAAAAAATTATGAAGACAAAATTATTTTGGGATTAGCTAACTTCCAGAAGTAATAGATTTAATGAGACTTTCTAATTTGGTGGTAATATTTGAATTTCACAGTTGAGCATATCATAAAAAATAAATAGTACTGGTCCTTGTTATAAAGATGTAAGATGACATTTTTGTAGAACGACAACCAACCCTCAGAACTCAAGGAATCTCAAACAGCCCACATGAGCAATATAAAGTAAAACTCTGACATACACTATTACAACAATTATTGGAAATTTTCAGGGAGGGAAATTTCCTATTTACAAGGCTGCATAGTACAGCATACAGTCCATCAATATGGCAAAATGTACTTAAAAACCAATATAAATTAGTCTAACTGCTTGAGGTATCATTCAAGCTGTCACTTCAAAGAACACCAAAGTTATTTTTCAAAATCTAACATTAAAGAGCTTTGTTATATTGATGTATCTAGAAACTGTATTACATGCTTTCCTTCTAGATTTCTTCTTTTATCGTTTGTTTTAAGGGATATATATATATATAAATTAAAAAAAAAGAAAACAACAAAAAAAAAAAGATTAATTCCAGGCTATAATATACTTTACAACCCTCTACAGATATGCGTGAGAGTCCCCTGATCATCAGAGATGATAGATCATAGAATCACTTGGGATGGAAGAGACCCCAAATGTCATCTTGTTCAAAGCCCCCTGCCATGGGCAGAGTTGCCAGTTTCTATATCAGTCTGCTCAGGAACCTATCAAACCTGGCCTTGAACGTATCCAAGGATGAGGAATCCACAACCTCCCTGAGCAGCCCAAACCTGTGCCTCACCACTCTCTGAGTAAAGAATTTCGTCCTAATATCTAATCTAAAATCTTTCAGTAAAATTAAGATGTGATTTCAGCCACAAGACTTTAAAAAGTCTCTCTTCACTACTGTAATTTTCAGGATTTCATTAACAGAGCACATACTTCAAAATTGTAATTCCTTTGCACTTTATTGAATTTAATCATGTGGAATATATTTTATGAAGTTCTCTCCTTGACTTTCACTTTCAGCAGAGGTGATTTAGGAGAATAAACAAGAAAACCAACATAAAATCAACATAGTATTTTAACTGATTATTTTTTCATACAAGATATTTGGATCATGACAAAGCTTAAATTCTAATCTGTATGTTATGTGTGAATGAACTATTTTTCTAGTTCTTAAGTTCCTTGGAAATAGTCATGATTTGCACTGTTTTGCATAGAAGTAAAAATACCAACAAGCTGGAAAATAATAAAAAGATAAAATATTTACTAATTTATCCCTCTCAATTCTCATATTTTCCAATCTTTTCCAGGAGTGTTATCTCACCACCTCCACAACCTGTCCATATTTTCTCTATTATTCTTTTAAAATTTTTCTCGCTCACTCTAACATTTCACAAGTTATATTAGACCTTGCTCTCATTTTCTGCCACTGTTCTTCCAAAATTCAAATTGCCATTACTTATGTCTGAAACTTATGCAAAAAAAAAAAAAAGCTGAATGTTGTATATTTAATAAGAAGACACTATTAGAAATATACTACACAAATACTTAAAAGCCTCAACTGAATGACCGTGCTGCAAATTCTCTTGCTCCAAGTATTTCAAGCACTATAGCTTTTCTCATTTCCAAATTCTGAAGATGAGGTATCATGTTTATCATCTTTTTGACAAATCTAAGTCATTTAATCTAATATACTCAGGAAATTTGTATAAACTTTTTTCTCCTTCTTCCTTTTAAATCTGGATACAAGAATCATCTACCAGAGTCCGAGAGTAGTTCAAAAACAGAAAACAAAATGACACTAGAATAATAGAGCAGACTGCCTTTTCCACATCGTAAACAAAGCCAAACAAAAACTGCTCAAGTATGCACAATTTTAGACACTTACATAGTGATGTCACATAAACTTGACAAGACATCAGTCAGAGAACATTTAAAAACTGACCTACAAAATGCCAAAAAAGTTCCTGCTTCAGAAAAGGAAGAAACACTGAAAGAAGTGAGACACTGTAGACTGCTGTGTAAGGTCATTAAAATAAATTGTTTCTCAATAAGCAGCTCATTTGACAGATGAGTTGTGCCAGGATGAAACTTATCGCTTACAGTTTTATGTTTGTAGGGTTTGTATGTTTTTACATATGATATCATTACTTAAATAAATGTGCAACAAGCTTATATTGGTTCTATTTCAATCCAGCCAATTTGGCAAATTCTTCATTTTCTATAACTTCTGAAAAAGATACATAGTAAACCTGGCAACGCTTAGCAGCTAACTGTCCTTAAACTATTACAGTGAGAAATGATATGATGATTGTTCTTTAAACAACGAAACAGATTTGAGAAATTGCTCCCGTGCTTCTTGTTAAGTCAGGAACAAAGTGAATTTTTACCTCTCTATACTCTTGCTCTGAAATCTCTCAGCTAGAAATCTGCAGAGATACTGTTCTAAAACATGGATTAAAGCATCTTGAAAACGTGCTACTTTGAGATCAAAATTCAGAGGGCCCTTAAATTAGAGCACTGACTAATACTCCTTTCTTTTCCTCAACCACCTCTCTTTTCACATTTCATGAAACTGTCGGGACTAGCTTGCTGCAGCAGAATTAGAATTCAATTTAGAAGATTTGAACTGCTTAGATGTTAAACACATCATGGTGATCGAGATCCACATTTCTGTTCCACAGCACTAAGTAGCACAGAGCCTAGCTGCTCTTTACTGATGGTCAGCAAAAATAGCAATCAATGTCAGTCACATTCAGCACATACTTACTACGTGCTGCCCTGGCAATCCAGGCTGAAATTAAGCACTGGAAGACCACACAGAGAGCCTGGAACCACCTGTCAAGGAAGGTATGGTATACAAATTGGACCAAATACATACAATTCTTGAATGCTAAAAAGCATCTTTCGAAAGCCAGTAAGAAACATCAGAAAGTTCTCATAAGAATTGTCTGGACAATAATGCCAATTATGGAAAGGAATCTTATTTAAAAAGTCAGTATAAACATTTTACATAAAATTAATGCATTGTTTAAAACGTTTCTACAGTCTCTGCCATGGATGTGATCTTCTATGATTTTCTGGTTATCAGTATTTCACATCATAACATCATGCACTGGGAGTTAAAGAGTTAATGCTCCAGTTCTGGGCACCTGTCCCAGAAGAGAAGAACTACATTCCCAGAGGACTTTGTGTTCAGAGAGGAGATAAAACATCTGGCAAAGTCATGAGACCTCTCTCTCCCCTTGTGCTCACCCCAATTGAACATCTCATCTCAGAATTAAAGTAAGGCCTTCGGCTTTTGGACGGTCTCTTTTTTTTTTTTTTTTATTTACCAGCTTTGATTCTAATTATACTGTATTTTATTGTATTACGGTGTGTTATCTTGCATTCCAATACCTTCTTTAGTAAATTAGTTTGTTTCTCCTTAGATCATTGCTGCTGTTTTGTTTTCAGGCCCATCTCCCTACTCTTTCCCTTTTTTCCCCTTTTCCCTTTACTGGGTTGTGGGTCCCCTAGTCATGGAACTGGGGTGAACCAGCCCATAAACTGTTGAAACACAGGGTTCAGAGAATGAAGAACTCTAATGTCAGTTATTACATTGCAGAAGAATATCTTCCTTTTTCCATTATTTTCACCAAATAAATTCCAAATAAATAAATAGAAACTCCTATCTGCATGTCACATTTGGCTTCAAAATCCAAATGCCAGAAGTCATGAAAAGCAGGTGCAGAAGTAAATCAGAAGACATTTTAATGCCTACCAGAAACAGATAACACAAATAATTTACTGTTGGTTTCAGTGTCTTCATGTTAACTCACAATTGCCTACCCAAAACTGAAAGGTCACCAGTTCTGCAACTAAGAAATATCAGTTAAGAAGCTCATTTAAGATTAACAACAAGCTATTAACTTTTATCTGCTATAGGAAAAAGGGGATCAGTAAAGGAAATTAAGCACAGCAGGATTTGGTTCAGGTTCAGAATACCATTTAGTGCATGAAAATTCATTAATTCAGCTGAGTTCTCACCATGAGGTAAGAACTATGAGCTTGGCAGCTCAGGTTTGTCTCTCATTGTGCCTAACTCCTTGGCACACAGACACAGATAGCTGGGCATCCAGAGATAAATACCAAGCTGCACAACACCTCAGAAATCACTCCCTTCCATGCTCTTAAATTCCTATGAATGACATTTAAAGCAAAGGGACAGAAGAAAGAATTTAAAGATAAATAACAGGACAACATAAAGACACAAGGCAGGAATGTTGTTTACACTGTCCCACTGAAACCACACCACTGCCCTCGGCTGTATGGGACATACTCATACTACACAAATGGGTGAGAATAGAGGAAGCAAAAGGTGTAAAGACTTGACAGATGGATCCACTTTATTCCTGGTACTGGGACCGAAGCAGACTGTGACAGTGTTTGTATACAGTTTTCTTAAGGAATGATTTTTTCTTCTTGCTGCCTGTAAGAAACTGCAGACTGGGCTGCAGATCCAGGGCTATATGGGAAAATCAAACTGGAATGAGTGAGGAGGCAAAAGGAGCATTGGCTACGTCTGAGATTTTCATTTGTGATGCTTTTTGATTTTGTAGCACAAATGGGAGAGGATACCACATCTGAAGAATCTCTGCAGACACAGCACTCAGAAAGACTCCAATAAGTGGAAAACGATGGCAGAGCCTTTAAACATATCAGGCTGTGGTCTTTAGCTACCAAAGACCAGATAAACTGTCCCTTCAGCCAGCTTCACTATCCTCTGAGTGTGGCAGTGGACAGCAGGCAGACATACACACAGAGAAACCAGAGAATTCTAAAGAGCATGTGAACAAAGCCACTTCAAGATAAGAGAAAATGGGAGTAAAAGAAAAAGGAGCATGCATCTAAACCTTACCCTTATACAGTTGTGCAACTCTCAATGATTTTGCAAATATTAAGTCA